TTCCCTTATGCCCTACTAACCCCCCCCGGTAAGTGTACCGTGTGGCGATGCAGCCGGGCTTTCAGATCTGGTACTGGCAGAGCTGAAAGGGAAGGAGTGGTAGTCCTGTTACAGGAGTCGTGTCAGCATTTTACAGGGGTTATTTAGGCTGTTTATAGGGGTTCTATACGGGTTGCGTAGGCTGTTCAGTAGGGATTTTAGGGATTCTAAAGGGATTCTATAGGGGTTACAGGGGTTATATAGGCTTCTTGTGGGGATTCTATAGGGAGGGCTATATAGGCTTTTTATAGGGAATGCCACACCGTATAATCATAATAGAAGATCATGAATATGGTTCGTCGCCACTATAGTAAGTTAGTGTATGTGATTAACAGCAACCCAGTACAGGAGTTGTGAAGGGATTCTACAGGGTTGTGAAAGCTTTTCATAGGGAGTTTAGTGTAGGGATTTTACAGGGGTTGTTTAGGCTTTTCATAGGGATTCTATATGGCAATTTCCTAAAATAGGGGGACCCCAATATAGATCCCAAAATACTAGAATCCTTATTATGGGGACCCCAAAAAGGTACCCCTAATTTTGGGAAACTACCATAGGGAGTTTTGACACAGATCCTGGCCATCATCAAAGCTGTTGAATTCTCGGCATTGCTTTGAGGTGCAGCTTCAATGTGTGTGAGTAGTATTTTTCAGGTTACTATAGTACCCAATATATCTTATGTCCTCCTTTTGGGTATATTAGTATTTTATATGTAAGTATATATAAGGGTTTCTGTTCCAATAAATGAGATGCAAGCAAGCTCTGTTGCTGTTGCCAGGCGTAGGTGACCTGTGGCTGGTCCGTTGGGCTCTTTGCCTCCTTTTTTTTCACCCTGAGGGCTTCAAATTAGGTTCCAAAAGACTCGAAGCCTTAAACCCAGATTGGGACCCCCGCCAGCATGTATGCATGGTACTGTCACGCGATAGCATCACCAGCGTTGTGTGTGAGTAGTATTTTTCAGGTTACTATAGTACCCAATACATCTTATGTCCTCCTTTTGGGTATATTAGTATTTTATATGTAAGTATATATATATATACAGAATGTAGTCTTACTTGGTTCAACCACCGAGAAAAACACTACTCGTGTGTGAGTACTTCCAGGGCGAGTCCAAGTCCCCAGTGAAGCCAAGGAACACCTACAACAACCTTGGTGTGAAGTTTCCGGACATGCCAGACAGCTGTGCCTTGGTTTAGGGTTAGACCCTAAATACCCTAAACCCTAAACACTGATATAGGTATAGCGACCTGAAGAAGCGCCACTAATGAGTACACTATTTGACAACTCGAACCCCCCCCCCTGCATGTTGGATTTGGGCTTATCATGCATCGATCTGTTGCTATGTTGAGGCAGAAGTTGTGGAACCATGGTCAGATTGCAAATCATCTGGTAGCAGGAGATCTTATTGCTTCAGCCTCAACCCTAAACCTCAAAGAATCCAACCAGAATAATATGACTGTCCCTATTGACCTAAACTCCGAACCCTAACCGTCGAGCCCTAAATCCTATGAGCCCCATAAACCCTATAAGCCCTATACAACCTATATTTTCCCTAAATACCCTCTATATTATAATCGCTACGAAGCCCTTATAAAGTCATAAGCCCCATATAGTTTTATAGTATATAATCCCTGAACCCTTATCCCTAAACCCTAATCCCTAAACCCTGAACACTAAATCCTAAAGTTGAACCCTAAACCCTATTGCCTTTCCATTGGAAGCCTCTACGCCCTATACACCCTATATTGTTCGTATCAAAAATTATCATGTATTCCCTATGTAACCCCCATATCATTGTCATATTACCTTGCCACTGGAGGCCTTGACCTGCTGAACAGGGCGCTGACCTTCGACCCCGCGAAGCGAGCAACAGCCGGGCAGGCCAGGCGTGGAAATCGGAGACGGCCAACCCTAAACCCTAAATCCTAAATCCCCCCGTAGAAAACCATAAATCCTAAATCCTAAACAATCTTAAGAAACCCTAAGTCCTGAATCCTAAGCCCTAAACCCCAAACCCCAAATCGGATCCCTTGAGGCCCTGCAGCATCGCTGGTTTGCAGAGGCTCCGGCTCCCCAGGAGCCGCACAACATGCCGACCTGGCGGGAGCACCGCCCCTAAGCTGCGAAGGGCTTAGGGTTTAGGATTAGGGCTTAGGATTAGGGTTTAGGACTTAGAGTTTATGATTTAAGTTTTGGGGTTGAGGGTGCTTTAAGGGAATTCCGAACATAGAATTCCGAATGTAGGGACTGATACAAAGGATGAGACTGGGATCATACGTCGATCCACTCCCGAACTTCCTGTGTCAGAGTTTTACGGGCTGGTCTAGGCAATTAAAGCTCCCCCTTCAAAAGTCTAGATACTAAGGTTATGTTGGGGCTATTTTGGGATGACAGAAAGTAGAATGGAAATTGCTACTTAGGGTTGAGGGTTTGGACTCCCCACACCCTTAGTAGCACTAGAAACAGTAGTAGCAATACTGATCCTGAAGCCCCCAACCCTAAACCCTAAAGTCTAAACCCTAAACCCCAAACCCAGGCTTCAGAAGCGAGCCAAGAACTCCGTCCTACACCATGAAACACCAGCAAACCCTGAAACTGGAGCTTCACAAAAAACAGTGCTCAATGCCAAGAGGTGATTTAACCCTAAACCCTAAATCCTAAACCCCATACCCTAAACCCTATAACCCCATACCCTTCGGGCCCTAGGCCTCCTTTTGGCGAACCTTGTCCTGAGAACCTTCCCTGTCCAGGAAATGAAACGGCAAACCCTCGGGCCAACCCTGTGGTCCCTGGGCTAAGCAGGAGCTTCCTTTTACCATCACTATCACTATCACTATTACTATTACTAGTACTAATACATGTATTTTTGCAGGTTGTCTTCTGTAGGCTCTTTGAAACGATCGTGGGGTTCATATGGGATTATGTCGGGTGAGTATAGTGGAAAGAAGGGCCACTCAAAGACAAAAAGGGTTCTCACCTAAATCCAAAGCCTTCACCCCTTAAAAGCTTCAAACCCGAAATCCTTGACCCTATTTGTATGGGACCTGCAGAGATATCGTGCAAAGGCTCGTGGGTTTGTTTCACCTAAACCCTAAACTGCGGATTTCAGGTGAGTGGACTGCAGCCGCAACCAGTTATAACCCTCCTTTCAAGACAGAGGACTATAGTTGGGACTTGTTGAAGCCCTATATGGGGTATTTAGAAGCCTAGTCATAAGTATCCTCAGCCCTAAATCTTGAGTAAAGAGTTGGGAGCACCGTGGGAACTGCAGATTCCATGTGTATGTTTGGCGTTTAGGACTGTAGAGTGGAGGCCCTAGGGAGTAATCATTGGGTAATATTAGGGTTATAATGGGGTTGGTTGTCTTGGGAGAATGGAAAATAAAATGGAAACTACTGTATTTAGAGCCTCATCTTCAGAAGCTACGATGTAAGCAGTTGGTTGCAGCAGGTGCATGCAGAGATCAAAGTGGAGGGGTTTTCAATTGAGGGGCATTTGAGGATTGTTGTTTTGCAAGGGTTTTATTTGTGACAGATAAGAGCTCCAAACCCTAAACCCTAAACCTTAAATGCAGCAGTTTCCAATTTATTTTCCATTCCCCCAAGACAACCCCATTATAACCCATACCCAATCATTGCTCCCTAAGCCCTCCACTACAGTCCTAACGCCTCGCGTGAATCCTCTGATCCCTGAAATCCTGTATAAGAGGTCCCTATCATAAGGACCATGCTATGTTTGAGCTCGTTTAGGGGGTGCCCTGAAATTTTGGGCAACTCCTTACCCTAAACCCTTAAATCCCCCTCCCCCTACATCTTGGAAACCTCACAACCCCCAAGCCCTAAGGTTGCGCTGGGGCCAGCAAAGCGTCCGGCCCCGCTCGTGGCACGCTCCGCCGTTTTCGCAGCGGCGAAGAAGATGAAGTCGTGTGTCTTCTGAGAAAAAAGTTCGACATGGAACCCTTTTTCAGGGGCTGTGTTCTGTAGCGGGTATATGGTGGATTCCTTAAATAGGGGGACCCGAATATAGACCCCTGAATACTATGGTCTTTATTATAGGGACCCCCATGTATCCCTAATCTCCCTTATCGCTGCACTGGAATAAACCTCAGTCAAAGTGGGGGGGGGGGGTGGGGGAAATATTCATCTGTCTCTACACATACACACACATTCCTTGTCGTTCTCGTAACCAGCCCCCTCACTCGGCCTGCCGTTTAGTTGGCATTTGGTAACCCCTAGGTAGGAAAACGCTCAAGTTATGTTATAAGCTGTATCCCCCTATGGTTTCTACATTTTCGAGAACGTCAGTGTTTCGTAGTATTCTGTCAGTGTTTCGTAGTATTCTCACCTAGCCGCAGAATCCTACATCCCCGCATCAGTCCAGTCTCCATACCATTTTCCATGATCTTGTCCATTTGAATGGGTAGTGTCCCCAACGCCCTGATATTCAGTCTATATAATCCCCGTATGCTTCCTACATAACCTTTTATAAGCCCTCTATAATCCCTATATGCTCTGTACGAGGCCTAGATGAACCCCTGAACAATACAATCCGGACAACAATTGTTGTCTGGCCTATGGTCAAAATTCCCATACTCGTTCTGCAATCTCGTTCCATCTCGTGTTACATACTCCGGAGCATGTTGGAGACCAACTGACCAAATCTACTGCTATCTGGTTTTACAGCACTTGAGTCGGGCCTTGAATCCAATTTTCCAACAAATTTACGTCAAAACAAAAAATGCTGATCTCGTTACTTTGGGGGACCATCTGGTTTTACGAGTGAAACGTATGATTTCAGGGAATTCTGGCCGACGTTAGACATGTGTCAAGAGACGGGAAATTTAGTCCGTTTCTCATAACCCCTAATCCCCAAACCCTAAACCCTAAACTCCTATACAACTCTATAGAGCCTAGAGCTCTTAAGTATTCTTTAAAGGGCCTAGGAATCACAACTCCTTTATAACCCTATAGAGCTTAAGGCTCTTAGATACCCTTTAAAGAGCCTAGGAGAAGCCTTGATCTGGCAGGCGCATGGCGGCTGGCTTTGCCAGACCTTCAGCCAGGCCATAGACCTCTGTGACATTGAGTAAGGCCCAAGATATATGAGGGTTTTCCAAAATTAGGGGATACCTTTTTGGGGGTCCCTATAATAAGGATTCTAGCATTTTGGGGTCTATATTGAGGTCCCCTGATTTTGGGAAACTACCATATGTAGGGGTTCATAGGGTTGAGGGTTTAGGGTTTAGGAGGGGGTCAAACCCTAAACTCTACATGAGCTAGGGTTTATATTGGGATAAGGGAAAAGAAAATGGAAACTACTGTAGTAGGATAGGGTTTATGTTGGGGGTTCTAGTGGGGGGAATAATGGAAAAGAAAATGGAAGCTACTAATTAGGGTTTAGGGCTATAGGGATACTACCCCTAAGAATGGAGAATCAAATGGAAAAGAACAAGGAACATGAAACGGAAACTGGGGTTATAAGGCAGTTTATTGGGTTTAGAAGTTAATGTGAGTTATAGTCTAAACTCCTTAAAGGGGACTGTGTAGGGGATTCTATAGGGGATTATTGTAGGGGTTAATAAGGGGAATGCTAGGACTATAGACGATGGCTCATGTACAGTTTAGGGCTTCGTGTTTAAGATTCGTTTAGGGTTTAGGCTCTCGGGTTTAGGGTCATAGAGGGGGTACATTGGGATCCTGTTATAGGGGTATGTGACGTTTTATAGGTTTGTATATTTATTCAGATATGGATAATATGAGGTTATATAGGGGTATATAGGGAGAGAGCGAGAGAGAGAGAGA